GTGTGGAGAAAAACCTGCTGCCCGCTCTGAAGACACAGTCACTCATAGAATTATTGATATGGTGGATGATATAAAAAGTACGCTGATAGAGTGTTAAGATGAGCAGATGCTTTTCACTGCAATTAGATGAGTCTGTAGTCTATTTGGCCAATTTGCTCATTCAGGTTAGATACAAGTTTGAGGGTACGTCCCATGAGGACTTTCTGTTCTGTAAGCCGCTACCAACAGGAACTACAGGAGAGCACATATTTCAGCTTCTGAATGAATTTATCGAAGAGAATGTCATTGACTGGATAAAATGCGTCTGAGTTCGTACAGACGGTGCTAGAGCGATGACAACCCGACACAGCGGTGTAGTTGCACGAATTAAGAGAGGTTGCTCCAGAAATTAATGGACGCATTGCAACATTCACCTATGACCTTGGCAGTCAAGAAAATGTCTGACGATTTAAAATCTGTTAGACTCTGATGTGAATTGTATCAAGGCTCGAAAAATTAATTCACATCTGCTTTGCTCAACTAAACAGGCTTTGAGAAGCCACCTTTAAAGGCGCTATATCAAATAAAGTTTATTATTATAATATTTATTATATGTATGTGTGAGTGTGTGTGCACGTGCGCTCATGTTGGTCATTGAGAATTTCTGGGGTTCCTATGAAATGATGACTTGTAATTGGTACTTGGATGCTTTGGTTGGATTAGGGGTGGTACTTGGTCCAAAAAGTTTGAGAACCACTGATTTAGCCTATTTGGTTATTCATTAAATGGTTCAGGAATTTCATCCAGCCATTTCTGGAAGGAAACCGCATGTCTACCACATGGCTGGGCAGCTTATTCCACACTCCCACAACTCTTTGGGTAATGAAGCCTTTTTTTCTTGGTTTTAAAAGCTTTTTTGTCAATGCCTTTGAGGATTTTCAATACTTGTATCAGGTTGTTGTATCACTTGTTTCACCATTTCTCAAGTTGCCTGAATTATTCTTTGGATGGTTTAAGAAACATGTAAGTATAGCACACACTAAAATGTTTAGAGGTCATTATTCACAGTTTTATATTAGTAGCGTTATTAAAAACAACAAATATTTTAGATAGGTGGAAAAGGATTTTAGCAAGTTGAGGAAGTTAAAATACATTAAATAACTTTTTGGGGAATACTGCATTCTATAACCTTTAGTGCACTGAGGGATAAAGTTACATTTTAAACAAAATCAATAAGAGATCTAAGAAGTAGAAGAAGCAAAAAAAGAAACCAAGACAAAAACATTACAAGAAACCATTTAAGTCATGTATAATCAACTGCATTTGTTCCACAAAAGATAACTGAAGATAAGCACGAAAAGGGTAATCTCTCACAGTACAACGACGCAAAAAAAAAACCTTGTTGTGGCTTGGTGTATTTCCCAATTCACATAATAAGTAGCTCCTTTTGACTGTTCATCTACTATCTACCCACCCAAGTCTCACTGGGTTCGTACTTACATGGCTGAGCTTCTCCATGTGAGCCACCAGCAGGGGGAACCTGTGAGCCAAGGCTGAATCGTTCTCTGTGCTGGCCTGCTTGACCAGGGAGCGCAGCAGCACCTCCCCATCGTAGGCGATGGGCAGAATGGATGTCAGTTTCACCGAAGTGTTGCACAAAGCTGACATCACTGCTGCAAGGAGGCGACTGCTGGAAGTACGGAAATTTGCATCCTGGATGTCCTACAAAATAACAAAAGTTATTAACATTATGATTCTCAATTTGACAGAAATAATACACGTCTTCCCTTCTACCTCATGATACTTTATATGCATTATGAACATTTACAGTGTGCCACATTTATTCAATAATTTTGTTTTATAAAATGTTAATGTTCAAATGACAGTGCAACTGAAATATAGCCAGAGAATGCAGATATCCAAAGATTTAAAAGAATTTAGATATCAAAAGGAAAAATGCATCTTTTTCTCTGTATTATGAATTAACGGTCCCGTAAACTGAGCTAATGCATGTCACCCATCATTATTCAATTAGCACTTTTGTGAAAACATAAATCATCATTAAAGCAAACTCCTCTGACAGTAACATTTAAGTGTTCTGATTTTTGTGACAGCAAAATGATAAAAACAAAAGGTTGAATTAAATGTAAATCTAGAAAAACAACTGCAGAAAAATCGAAGTACTTAGGTGTTTTCACAATTCAGCAGCATCTGCATGGCAACAATACTACTGCATGAAAGAGCTGCTTCCTCATGTCTCAATATGAGCTTTTACTAACAGCAGGCGTTATGCTTGATTTGTAGTCTTTGTTTTACAAGTCTAGACAGAATAAATTAAGTTGCCAAGGATATCATCTTAAGGGGAAGCTAGAGTAATTCTCCGTAGTGAATTCCTCGATGAGAAAAAGCAGCTGAAATTCCCAATTTGAAACTACAGGTTGTAATAAATGAGGGAAGCCTTTTCTGTCATTTTAATTTCACAATTGCAATTCTGAGGCAAACGCACAAATGCCAAATGCTAAAATACATACACAATTATGTACTGAAAACAAAAAACATACATAATGGTCAAGATTCAGATTAATTTATTGTAAACACCTGGAATCTGATCATTAACACGTAATGAAACCATCTCAAAGAGCCAAGAGCTCTGCTTTCTGGTGATGTTGTGCCTCGTGGCTGTCCTCACCTGGTCCAGGCAGTTGAGCAGATCACAGAGACAGGCCCACTGCAAGGCTGGGGTGGGGTAGAAGGAGTGGAAGCAGGCTGTGAAAGTGTTGTGACATTCCTGCAGCACAGCTTCTAGCAAAGCGAGGGGTTGGCTGAGGTAGCCCTGTGGGTCATTGTCCAGTTTAATCATGCAGTTGTCCATTCCTTCAGACAGGATCTTCCTCAGGAGACTCCTCGTCTTCCCCACACACTCGGCCAGCTTGCTGGACTCCTCCACTATAGCCTTGGTGTTGGCTGAAAGAAACATTCAACAGTCCATACAGTTATGGGACAGATGTTCACTAATGGACCCAATTATGACTAGAATTCAGACAAAAACCTGGAGGAAAAGACCAATCAATTTAGTGCATTATTACACGCATTGTGATTCACATTAAACATTACTTTTATTTTACTGTTAGGACTGAAAGTAGTTTTAATTATATGTATTACTGCAGTGATAATAAAAGCATAAGTTTAGCCACTACACCTGTGTGAACATATGCTTTGATTAGTTAAGTTAAGTTTACTAACATTTGAATTCTTAAAAAAGAGTGATTGAGGTTGATCGAGTGATTGAGGTTTAACTTTTTCCCCCCTCTGTTAATTTCCAGTTTTAATGATATGTAATAAATTGTGCCAGGGAAGAAATGCCTCAGACAGAATACCAGAGGAAACCAAAACTATGAAGATTACAGAAGCAAGCTTCATTGTACTTTTAGTATATAACTGGTTTCAAAAACACAGTAATAGTAATGAAACATACAGCCTAAGGTCCTTTTATGTTTTTCTACAGCTATATCCTGTGGTCAACAGGAAGTGTACTGTGAAAGTCACAAAATAGGAGTATGTGTGGCCACGACTGGAATTAATACATTAAAGTTGTACATCTACAGAACATGCTACAAACGAAATCTTGTAGGATTCTGTCCCATTCCTCTCAAAAAGCCCAGAAACGCCTGTGTCTGTTCACTGATCTCTCAAGCCCAGTCACATGTTGTCCAAGCTCAACATACAAATGTTTTAATGATGTTCAGATCTGATTATTAGTGTACCAATATAACGGTCACATACTCATCTTGAATGAAAGCTGTAGAGTCTGGCTGGTGAACATGCTGCATAAAGACATTTACTGTTCTCCTAGAATGTACCCATGGGAAGAGCAGCAAGTAAAGTCCCAGGATCTGACCACCATAGCACTGTGCAGTGAGGCTACCTTCAGTCTGTTGCTACAAGACACCCATTTCCATGCCATCGCACTTGTCCCCATGTCCCCATCAATCAGTCTCTCTTACACAATAGTAAACATATCATTTGGCATGTTTTAACCACACTTGTCAACTTCCATCTATAATAATAGATTATTGCAACAGCTCAGGTTCTTGCTCATTAAGTCACCTTTTGAAAGATACTATTAGACAAAATTCTGGCTGGCATCTGGGGACGTCTAAGCCAGCCCCTGTGCATACGAGATGAAGCTGCAAGCAGCTGTACCTGATATGGGGTAAATCTCACAGATGTACACTCGCAGCAGGCGCAGGCAGCAGGTCCCCACGAAGCGCAGTCGCTCCAGGTCCAGCAGGGTGGCCGTGTACTGAAAGCCTTTAAGCCCCCGCAGCTCCTCCACACCCAGCACCAGTGTGGTCCAGCTCCAGTGGAGGATGCTCAACAATGACTCAAAACACTCCTGCACCACATCAGAAGACAGTGAACCGCATTAATGTCCGTCCAACACCTTTGTTTCACCTTTGGATGATTCTTCTAAAAAGAACCCAAACAGATCTAATTCCCCTGAAGCAGCATTGTGCTTTCCCCGATTTCTTCTCATCCAATCTTTGTAGCTAACAGGTCAAAACACAAGGCGTGATGCAGAATTGTTTTATGTTCCTTGTGCTAAAAGAATATCTGTGCCACCTAGTTACAGTCTACTAGTACAATTTCTCAGTTCTAACTTCTGAAATAAAGTGCATACCACTGATACAGTCCTTGCAAACGATCTCTTCAGAATGTGCACAGGTTCACTGGTCTGCTGCTTTCCTTTTGCAGCGTTGCCGTCATTGGATGGAAGCCTGAAAGAAAAGGCAAAACGTTCAATTAGAAATAAAAAGCATATTACAAACATACGTCATCACTAAGGAAGACATTTTGCCCTGGTTTCATGGAAAGAAGTTTATAATGGAAAAGGCCCAGAAATAAAATCCTATAGTCCAGGCACAATTAAACTCATTATGAACTAACTAGTGGCAAAGCCCCAGCTGTTTACCATTGTACATGGGATATATGTTGAACCATAAAAAATACTTCACTGACATGGATAAGATATGAGGAACTGAGTTATTATAAAATATGAAAAGGAAAACTTTTAGCCAAATCTTTAATCATTACATCTATGCATACTGTATATACCCAGTAGAGGACTTCCACATACCTGTATAGCAACTGAGGTATCTGTCCTGCATTTACATCCGTACCATTATTTGATTTCTTGGAGCTTTTAAACTGGAAAACCACGCTGTGAGAAAGCAAAAATAAAATATATAATAAAGGCAATCTTTCAACACCTGTAATGTAGCCTGATTATTCACACCTTTGATCACGGGTTCATGCAGCTAGAAACTTCATGTAGATGCAGTAAAATGTGTAAGAGTAGTAATGTCACTAATTTTCTGCAAAACCAAAAGTGTCAAAATAGTGTGAACAATTTTAAAAACTGTTTTGTTCACAAAGCCCTGAGACTCAGGTTGCAAAGCCTGGATTGGGCCAACAGAGTAGGAGAAAGAGAGATCAGAGAGAGGAGGCAGAGGTGACACGTGCCTGTCATCTGTGGTGATGGTGGCCTGTCCATGGGAGCCACAGTCGCTGCTTGGCCCCGACACCCGAGCCCAAGCCACGTACCACCAGCCAGACTGCAGCAGCACCGGCTCATCAAACATCATGGCATACTTCTCCCTGCAAACACAGGCCCACGTCAAGACACACCGCCAGGGCAGTCGAACACCCTCAGCTGTCACAGATCTCAGGCATGCACGTCAGGGTGGAGGTGCCAATATTTTGTTTGCAAGAAAGCAAAATAAAGTCTACAAATTAAGAAAATTACTATGTAGCAAGAAATGAACTCCTGTAACATCACAAAAGATTTGTCACACTAGCAGAATTTTTATCACATTAAACCCCATCAAATACGCTGCTCAAACACCTCAAGGACTCCTGTGCACACCATAGCTTCATTCTGAGGTGGTGATTATGTGAACCTGCTAACAAAGCAGTTGTGACAGCAGGGAGAACAGCCGTCTCACTTGGTGTTACCTCCATGCTGATACTGACAAATACAAACTGACTACTAATAGGGAGGAGCGACACAAATCCACACAAGGCAGAAAAATATTCCTGCTGAACTACAACTACATAGGCACACTATTTCGGCACAAGGTTAAAATAAAATCTAAAGATAAAAATGCTGAGTTTCCTATTTTGCTATGTAATTGATAGTGTTTCTGACCTCAATATAGAGGGATCCACATTGATCATCATCATGCAGCAACCACTATCATTTGGGTGACTTGCAACAACCAGCAGCCCCGCTTTACAGCAAACGAGGCAGAGAAGCAAGAAACCACGCTGCCAATTGATTGCACCAGATTGCGCAATCCAGGACACTAGAGTTAATACCTCTATTCTTCTCTATGGTATCCAATATAGTCTTAAAACTTAGTTTATTGTCTGATTTAAAGAATGACACAACCTAACTTCATGTTGTGTTGAATAAGACAAATTGGACTGCATTCATAAATCTTGTCTTTGACAATGATAGAGAGATATCCATTTAACCCAATGAGCTCAAGTGGCAGTCAATTTATTCTCGTCATCTGGAGACTGAATCTACACTATAATGCTATAAAATGAGAAAGTTGCAGATCAGGCGTTTAGAATCAGTACTGAAAACACCTGCGCTCATTTTGTCATAGTCACTGTTTCGCCGTCCTCCCAGCATGAGGAATAAAGCATATATTCTTTCGGGAGATAATGCAAACATTACCTAGCTGCACAGTCATAAGCTAGGACATCAGTCTCAGCCAGCAGGTCTCCATCTGTTTCATGATCTCCTCCATCAGGGCCCAGCTCAAACAGCTTAGGAACAGAAGTCACAAATTCCACAAATTTAACCACTACAGTAAGCCCTCTGTTCAATGGACTAATAGAGGGGAATGGGTGCCTGTTATTGTAGAATGGGCATTAAATCATGAATAAGATTTTTTCAGCCCCAAAACACAGTTACATAAGGAAAAATATACCACATATATGCTTTCTAGATCTATTGACTATTTCTTCAAAAACTGCAGTCAACTCAGTAAATGAAAATTGTTCCTGTCCTTTTTTCCCCATAAACTTTTCTTTTACGACATTAAATATTTTTAACGTCGTAAATATACTGTATAAAATTTACTGAAGCATTCATAACATGAACCCATGTTATACAACCATCATAAACAACTTCCATATCCCTGTACCACCTGTCCTATCCCTACATTGATTCCATTAATATTCATGCATTTAAAGGCATGCTGTACAAAATACATTTATTGTTTTATTATTTTTGCATTTTTCAGCCATTTCTTACAATTTGTCTCATTTTACTTCACATTGGTTTACTTTAATTCCTTTTTGGTGCATTCATAATTTACTGAGTCTGCTTACTCCTTGATTCAAATGATGGGGAACTGTGAAGTAATCACTGCTCATTTCATGTACTTTAAAATTATTATACATTAAATGTATTTTGCAACTCATTTCTACCTTTGTTCTCCCTGTTATAAAGAATAAACCAAGCCTTTGGTCCTGACTGCCCTGTACAATACTATTTAAGATGACAGTAACTTTTTAGAATCTATTCTGTAAATTATTCTGTTATATGAAAACATCATATCTGATATATCTACTTCATCAGGAGTATGAATACATTTGAAGGGCACTATATGTACACGAATGTGTTACAGAACTTGAATGACACAGCTGGCAACAAGCAGACAAGTCAATTTACCTTGATCTTTGCAGTGTATTCTCCTCTACCCCCAAAGAGCCCCAAGCCTCCCAACAGGATATCTGCATCTGCATAGAAGCGAATGGCTTCCACAGAATGCGCTGAATACCCCCAGCCACCACCATGACCTACAAAAGTAAGATTTAATTTCATGTGCAACAATTATAAAATAAGAGTTGGCAGATTTTCAGTCTCCACAAAAAATATTGTCTTCAAAACTCCAATCAATACAAATACTCTAAGCACAAAGATGGAAAAGAAGAAAAAAAAAGAAGAAATCCTACAGAAAAGGGATAAAGGAAACATTTCTTTATGACAAACCTGTCCATAAATAAAAATAGTGGAAATGGATATGCTGGTACCTGCAGTTCCAAAACTACACACTGTGTTAAAAAGCACTCACTTTCGAAACGGTTGACAACGCTGTAGTCTTCTTTAGAGTAAACTTTCATGACTGCCTGCGTCTCTTCCTCTGTGCTGGCAATTCCCATTTTCAGCTCTTGCATGGCAGCCAATGTGTCCAGACATCCTAAGGATGGAGAATCCACAGTTAAAGCCTTTTCTTTCAAAACGCAAAAGAAGAAAGTGCTTGCTTTTATTACTTCCTGAAATTATAAGAAACTTGTTCTTGGCATAAAGCACCTGGCAATCTCAAGCAAGCCACAGACTTCCCTGTTGCAGGGATCAAAATGCCTTTCAGTCACTAGTGATTCTGCCATTTCCAGCATCCAGGATGAGAACCAAAGTCATTAATTAACTCAGCTTCCAAGCTGCACACACCAAATCCACATGGCCACTTCTACCTTGTAAGATGAGGATACCCTGGCAGACTCATACTTGCAGGACTTACCCAATTCTGCATCACCCTCTGGGAATGATGATCACAGTCGGCACATAACAGCCCAGGCTTAAACTACCAATGTCTGTCTTGCCTGCTGGGCTCAAACTGTGCTCTTTGTGACCGTCTTTATTGGTCTACAACCAATAAATGATCCTTTAAGACACAATTATCTAAATGAAACCTTACCCTTTCTGTCCATTACACAACAAATATACCCCACTTGAAATATAGTGTCAGGGAAACAAAAACATTCTCCAAAAAATACATGTTGACAATAGCTTACCTAGTATATGCAGTGCACCATGGGACCTTGTTGTGGTGGCACATGATCCTGTTGGTAGAGCTAACTCTGGACTCAGGATACTGCATCTGGACTGAATATCTGTGGCTGAAGGCATCCGCACATCAGCAATCACAGCATTGTAACACCACATCTCCCGGGATGCAGGCAGGAATCTGAGAAAGAGTGAAGTGATTTGAATAAGCTTGAGTTTGTCAACATCCCAGTAGCTGTTCCCTTTTTTATTAACAAAAGCTAAGAAACAAAAAAAAACCCAAATGGAATAGAAACACTTAAAAAATCAACAACAACAAAACATTCTAGCTGAAATAAGACAAAAGTCAAGGTCGATGATAAAGGTCATCACAGACAGTTTGGACATGTAAAACAAATCGAGAATATGCAAAAAAAAAAAGCCTTTTTCTACATATTCAAGAAAGGGACCCCAGATCCTATTGAATCGCTCCACAGTGATTATCCCACAGAAGCAAATCCTCTCCATTGAAATTGTGGATATCAATCCTTGAGCCAGCTCTTGAAACGGAGATTTCCAGTCTTATGAACAATTTTTGGCCACACCATTCCCAACATGAGTGCTGATAATTCTTGCTTTGCTTATCTGTGAGTTGCCTCTGAACAACCAGAGAGGGCTAGTTCAGCATATGGGGGCATATGGGGGTATATTCTTCCCAAACACTTTTGAGTACCACTGTAATATTGCTGCCTAAAATTTTTAAGAACTTGGGACCGAGCCAGTAGAAGCATGTGAGAGTGACATCAGAAGACCTGTATCTGTCACACAAAGGAGAGAGTGAAAGATATATCTTGTTCAATTTAGTTCCTTACACCAAGTATCTTTCAGATTATTTATCTACAGTATTTTTAATTAAAATTAGAAACTTATCAGCATTGCATTTAATCTTCAATCTTACTTTCTTTTCATCTTTTTAGCAGGGAAACAAAATATACAAGATGCTCTACAAAACACTGGTAAGGCTTCATTCAGACTACTGTGTTTAATTACAAGTGCTATATAAAAAATGGATACTGAGACCCTGGGAACAGTTCAAACAAGGGCAACGAGTTTTCTTTCTGCATTTAAAGAATGTCATACACAGTCAAGCTGTATGGACCTAATCTATTTAGTGGTAAAAAAAGATTATATGTATCTAAAGCCCTAAAAGAAAATGACGAACAGTATCCTGTATCCAAATGACAATTTCAGCATGAGTTGTGAAAGATTGACCCTAGGATACAAGTGGAAAATAAGAGTAGATACCCTTTAGGACTGAAAAAAGCAGTCAGTTCTTTACACAAGAAGGCTGAAGATATGAGACAAGCCACTGAGCCATGATGCTAAAAGCAGACACCCTAGGATCATTCAAGGAATAGCTGAATGAGATCCTTGAGGTCATTAAGTGACTAGCATCTAAAATAAGCAACATCTGCTCAAATCATATTTTATTAATTTATACCTTATCTTCTGTTAAGATAATCAATTAAACTTCCCCCAAATAAAAAACATTGTACTTAACCTAGATGTACTCAGAATTCAGGATGTCTTGATGGTTATTAGTAATCTACTATCTCAACTACATTCTTACCATTGAGAAAGACTTACCTCCAGATGACATCATAGACTGGATCCAAACACACACCAAAGCCCTGCAGGTCCTCTTGTTCAGAGTCATTGAAGGTTCTGCAACTTCCATCAACCTTATTTATCAGAAGGCATTTGAAAGGCGTGGGCTCGGACATAGATGCAGGTACCAAGCCTAAAAAATAAATTATATTATATATTTCAAACAACTTTTGATAATAAATACACATTGGTATTTGGAAACTTTCAATTAAGGGGAAAAAAAAAGGCAAAAGCTGATCTTTACCTATGATGTGTTTGCTGGCAAAGATCTCTGAAGTGGCTAAGACATGCGAGTTTATTAGTGCTTCATCAATCCTTAGGAAAGTCTGGTCTCCGCTAGCTCCAATCCAGGTAGCTTTTCGCCCATACTTAGCTCCAATATTCGGCATAGGAGATGGCTTTGCATTCCAATATGGCATGTCTACAATTGGCCTCCCAAGTTGTCCTTTCTGCCAAGAGAAAAGCAATACAAGCCCATTTATGTTGAGTGTACCATGCATTAAATACAAAGTATAGTTTTAAATGTAGAAAAATGTTCATATATGTTAAATTCTGCCATTATCATTTAATGACAATGACAAAGAAATCTGAGAGGAAGGTAAGTGCATTTAAAAAGGAGAACAGGAGGCTTTTTTACACAAATGGTTGAGAGTCTAGAATAAGTTATCGAGCCAAGTTTTGGAAACTAAAAAACAGGACATTTTGCTAAAATAATAATCTTTTCGTTTTTTCTTACCGAGAAACTCCCGAAGGTGAAGACTTGACCGTCCATTAGGAGAACAGCAGTGTGGTTGCTCCCAGCAGTCACCTGGATACTGGGGCCTGGCAAGGCCTGCACCAGGGTTGGAGATCCCCTGATGAGCAATTAGAAATAACAACAATAAGAATAAACTCATTGCATATAAGCAGCACTTTTCATCCCAAGGGATCCCAATTGCCTCATATGAAGGAGAGGACCCACTTCATCCACTACTGAAGTGCTGTCCCACCTATGTCACTCAAAGGAATCAAAAGGTGCCTGCAGCCCCACTACACTACGGATCACACAGAGAAGTGGAAAAACTGCTTCATCAAAGGAATTCACTTAGGTAGGCTAGAGTGCTCAACTCAAAGTGGAATTGAGTCAGGGCAAAAAGAGTAAACACTAGCCACCACTCTCAATTACAGTGTCAAGACACCTCCTACACCTTGGCACGTGCTGAATTATTAGTTTGGGAAATTATGGTGCAGAAATTTGGTCTACCACAATTAAAATCAATAAATATTTAAGCTTTTGCAGTGTAACTAATACAAATCTTTGCTGTGCATTACCTGGAATTAACATCTCCATGGCCCAGTTGTCCATGCTGCCCATAGCCAAAAGTATACACATCTCCATTCTCCATCAACACCACTGGAACAAAGCAAATGAGACTTTTACCTCTTTGAGGCTTAATACAGGCATTCATACATGTACAAAGATTAATAATGGAAACAATTTATTTGTTCATCAGCACTTGATGTATTTACAGTACAAGACGCACACTGCCTGTGAATATTTCTATGTTGAAAGCTTAAAGGAAAGTTTTTTATAGTGCCCTTCAAAACATGATGTCATGGAGCTCCACAACGGAGGTCAAGCGTGGGAATCGAAGTGTGACCCTCGGCCTACACTACATAAAATGTGACTTTACAGAAACTTAGAGCACATGTTATGTTATGCACTGAAGATACTGGCAGATTCCTGGAGGAAGACTATAAAATTCGCCTGATGGAAATACGGGTACGTACCTGAGTGATGGAACCCGCAGCTAACCTGCACAGCTCGGAGCTCACAGTCAAAGCGCACTGCCCCTGGGGGGTAAGTGGTGATTTTGCTTGCATCCTTGTCCCCGCGATCCCCACTGCCATCTATAGATCAAGTGAAAATGTGTCAGCAAAGATGGGGTCAGCTGAGACACACTGTGGACAAAAACACATTCTGCAACTGTATATATTGGAACAAAGATTGATCAGCTAACGCAGCTCCTGACACACTGCTGCCACCTGTAAAAAGAGCTAAAACATAACATTGAAAAACAATGGTGAGACAAGGTTCTGTATATATTTGAAACCAAAAACAAGTACAAGTGTGAGCCATATCATTTCCCACCAGTCTTTCACTGTAGTTAAAATGCCTTCTCTATAATTTCTGTTAAAATGATTAAGAGTTCTGGTATGTTTTGCTCTTGATTCAGGGCACTGAGACATGAGTATACGTATTAAATGCTTCTCTTTTGCAGTAGTTACTATTATTGCTACAAGCAAAGTGATTCTCACTTTGGATGAGATCACTACAGCTGCTTTAGCCACTACAAAAACAGCTCACAATAGACAGCTTGTTTAATTACAAAGAAAGAGCTGAAAGCGCATTTGTGACAATCTGTGAATGCTATCCAATTATTAGTCCATAACTTAAAGCGCCACCAAAAGCGGAAAGAAAACAAAACAAAATTCAAACTCATAACCTCATGTTATTTGTTTGAAATTTGTTCATATGAAACTGTATGAAAAGTGGCCAAAGGATGGAAACAAGTCAATTATTTTAAGAAGCGTCTTAAAAGACAGAAAGTTACTTTTTTACAGATATAAACTATTTTTCAAAAAACTTACTACAACTCAAAGCATCAAAACACAGCAAAATGACACATTAATGTCTGATATCAATACTGCTGTACTTTAAAATTATTAAGACAGAATGGGCAAAGAAAGCTCCAACTAAGGTAGGCCACAGCTATCTTAAGAACATGTCACTTGAGCAGCAAAATAGAACAGATTTGCATGTCTATGTAAAGCAAATGATGTGAAGATACCTATGAATTACTTCTATCTCCGGCCACATCTTTTTGTCAAACCCCTCAAAAAGTTTTTTAAATTATTAGGTTTCCTAGAAACATGCATAAATCAGAAAACATGGTATGTCACAAACACATTAAGTATTACATATATAACAGCCTCTCCAGCACTACTGCTACACTCTTGCAGTCAAAAAGAACAAATTTGGTGGATTTCTTCTGTATCCTGATGTTTCCAATAGAGCAAAGCGAAGATAATCAAAGTCTCCTCAATGGCAGCTCCTACAGACCCACCTGTTTCAAAATTAAATGTGACCAACATTGAATTTGCGGGCAGGAAGAGCATGAAAAGCAGTGTGATGACAAGTCTGACATGCTACAGTGACTTGTGATCGTTGTGCCACATAGACATTACAGAGGGTTGCAAGCGTTGTGTTTTCTTCTTTAATAAAAAACATGGGGGTAAGACAAAGGAAAAGGCTTCTACGATTTCTCTGTTACATTTTCCATGTAAACATAATACAAATGCTGTTCTCACCAGCTCTTAAGATTATAGGTGATACGGAAATACCACACTACCCATTACATTTGTGTTGTGTGTGTCTTTGTTATTTGGAATCATGACCCTCTTAAGACCAAACTACAAAACATTCTGCATGTAATACAGTAATTCAGAGATTAAAGTCAATAAGCAAATGGACAACTAGCTGTCAGATTCAATCACTAGCGGTTTTCTTTATCCTCAGGTATACTTTACACTAAGAACAGAAAAGAGAAAAATGAGCTTAATTTTGTGATTTTTTATAAATGAAAAACTCAGAGAACTAAAGAGACGAGCTGAAGGGCTGCTCCTAGTTGTTAATGAAGACCAAAGTACCTTTGTGTTTGTCCCGCTTATGCTTTAGCTGTGCCTGAAGGGGTCCTAGTCTGGCTATGGCCTGCTCTCGTTGATGCATATAAATGGGACCAGGAAATACAAAGGGGCCTGAGGAAAAAGAAACTTTCACATGCATGGGAAAGCTTTCAAATGAGAAAAAGAATGGTCAACAAAACAAGGCAAATTAAAAAATATGGAAAATACAACAAAGAAATAAACCATCCACAGTTCAAAAGCATTAACTTCATAATAATACCCAGTTTACGGAAACATGCTGTAAACCCATGACAATCCACTGAGCATAATGTAAATATTGCTTGTAATGCTGTCTCAAGACTAAAGAATATGCCTGTAAAGATAAAAAATTAAATTAAAGAAAAAAATTAAACCAGCCCAATTTCATTCATAATCCATAATATTTTTCTCTTCATAAAAGTGTTGGCAATTTGGCAAAGAAGAATCTGCTGAATTACTACAACTAGCAGTATTTCCAATTATGCCAGTAACAAAAAACAGATGTAGCACAGTTAAAAATTAAGCATGTTTAATCAATGCTTAAATGCTTAACACCAAGAAATTACAATGTCATGCTGTAATTAAATGCACAAAATGTAATAATTTGTTTTTTGATTTGGTACCTGTTACAGTACAGAATTATGAGGTATCTGTGAAACAGACTTCTCTACCTGATCCAGACAAGTGCTGGTTCTCAAGTTATTGGAAGATGGGAATTTTGAATTAATGTTTTCGACATTGGAAAGCGTCCCGAATTCTCTGTTGATTTTTATTTGCATGTGCCATGCAAACAGGAAGCTGTATGACTGAAACACTTTAGAAACAATTCCATATTCAAGATAAACATTAGAAGAGATAAAAGTGAATGGAACATGCACAGCACATGTACCACAGGAATGTTCCTCCATACAATGAGCAAAGTCACTGCCTCTTCAGCAGTTCAGTTAGTGTCTCACACTGAAGTATAACATCTACTCGACTCATCCCACAGGTGCTAGACAGTGTTACCATCTGCATTGTTATACCACATTTGTATCAGGTTACACAAACAGGGGCAAGGCAGAAGAAAACAAGTGGTCAAAGTTTGAAAATAATCAGAACAATGCAGTAAATTACCATAAAAAAAGCAAAGTGACTGATAAAGTTCTGATCAACTGTCACCCACACCATTACACACTGCCACCAAAACACATCTCAGTGAACTGTTTACAACATCTCCGTCTCCTATGTATTAAAACTACATTATTAAATAAGTGAACCACGACACCCTTCCACCAATATCTATTTTTATCTACATTGATGTGCTGAGAGGAGTCTTATAGGGGTTACTTTTTATCAAATGATGCAGGAGTTCCTTAACTGGATATCAGCAGCTCTTAGCCATTTTGGCTGTTAATAGGTTTATGGATTATCATGAAGCATAATTTTTTAAAGAAATTTTAATATTTCATCAGGTTGACAACATTATTGTTTTTTTCTATTGTTTTTGTATTTGTATTGTTGTTGTTTTTTTGTACTTCTTACCGTCTGAGAGCCAGCTAAATAGCATTTCGTTACACCATATTTGTATATGAGTATAATGACAAACTTGAACTTAACTTGAACTTGAGGTAGTCTCTGATGGGTTGTTACACATCATTGACTGGGTCTAGGTTGATCACAAAAGCTATTAAATGCACTAATTGCAACATCTCTGGCAGCAAAATGCACACAAGCATGGATCCCCTTATTCACTAAGACAAAAAAGCCCGGAGGCACCATTAAAATATAATAAAAACCATCAGACTTTTTATGCTTGCAAATATCCCATTTACATGTGCAAAATCAAAATCATATAACTAACAATACCTATGTTTTCCATGTGTCACATTTAATGTCATTTTAAACTTGGAAGGTAAAAGAGGAATTAAAAAAAATCAGACATCAGCTCTTACCATCTCTACAGCCATATCAGAACTTCTTAAAATGCACGAACAGGTACGAATATGTTATTATGAGTAATAATAACTGGGGTTATAATGCCTTGTGTTTCTAAAGTGTTCCAGTATATTTTCAGACTTCACCACAAATGCTCAAAAGTAACTTTATCACCTATGGTTAAGTTCTCTACCATTTCTTTCAATGCGATCAACACCCAGCATGAGAGAGAACTTTCCACCTGAAGTCTGTGCACTCAGCCTCTTCATTGAACAAAAAGGGATCGACATACCTCTTCCTTCTTCCAGCCGGTGTCTGCGGTTTATCCTTTGTCTCTTCTCCTCTTGCCGTATTTGGATATGCTCTTCAATATTTACTCCTGGAGGGACAGGGACAGCTAAAATAAAACAGTTGTGGATTTTGGGGGGAAAAACATACAAAGATGAATGATGGAGCTGACAAGAACTAATAAAATTCAATTTTATTAGATTTCTAAATTTAGAACTGTTAACCAATCAGCATGGGTGGAAATAAGAACTGTGAACACTCCGCTGAAATGGAAATATTTTTGCCATTTTGCACATTATAAATCACAAAGCATCTGCAGGAGAGGTTGATTGTGCTCACTGTCAACACTGCAAGCTCACAATAGTGTAGCTACTGCTGTCCAGTGCATCTCATCACTCTGGGAATCCTGTTTATATTCAGCCTGAATTCAGACCTCCAACAACTGGGTTAAAGACATATCCTGCACTCCAAGAAAGTGCTTTTACTAGTCTGGCCAAGTTACAGCACTCAAAAAAAAGAACACTTTAATGATTAATCTTGGTATATCTACTATAATCTATGTAGATTTAATTTAACCAGGAACTCATTGCTGGAAACCCACTGAAGCTAAGCAAGTGTGAGCCTGGTCAGTACCTATATGGGAGACCTCCTGGGAAAAACTAAGGTTGCTGCTGGTAGTGGTGTTAGTGGGGCCAGTAAGGGACGCTCACCCTGCACACACCAGTCTGTGTGGGTCCTAATACCCCAGTATAGTGACAGGGCACTGTACAGTAAAAAGGCATCTTCCTTTAGATAAGTTGTAAAACCAAGGTCCTTACTGGTCATTAAAAATCCCAGGGCGCTTCTCAAAATAATAGGGGTGTTACCCCGGTGTCCTGGCCAAATTTCCCATTGGCCCTTACCAATCATGGTCTCCTAATAATCCCCATCTCTGAACTGGCTTCATCACTCCATTCTCCTCCCCACTAATAGCTGATGTGTGGTGGAGGGGAGCCCCATTACCTGTAAAGTGCTTTGAATGGAGTGTCCAGAAAAGCACTATATAAGTGTAAGAAACTATAATGATAATAATAATAATAATAATAATAATAATATGCAGCATTTAAAGTTAAATAAAAAAAACTGGTAGCACTTTTTATTCCAAATGATCCCATAGTGATAGACATTTAGGATGGTACCCGATTCCTCCTCCAACTGGACAACACACGGCAGCCAACAGCCCCACAACACAGTAGGAAATAATCTAATTGATAGACTTTAATTAGCCATTTTATTCTGCAATATCCAAAAACTAATTATAAAGGATGGCTGGAAACACAAAGGAATTTAAACAAACTCCTCTTCTTTTAAATAAAACAAACTATGAGAAATATAGAACTTGCATATCTCAAAATGGTAGCCTTGGGAACAAAGGAACCTAGACTGCCTCACACGGAAAGCGCTACATACAGTATTACTGGAGCTTGTATTTTCTGGTCTGAGTCCAGATGAGGGGGAAGGGCAATGTATGATGTAATGTCAGGCTTTACCTAAAAGTAAATCTAATGGGATCATCTCCTTCACAGCATCAAAGATCCCTCTCTGCCTGGCCTCTTGTCCATCCAGCTCTCTGGCACAGGCCTTGCAGCAGCCACAGGCCGAGCAGCCCGACTCCCCGGAGCCACAGCCACAGATGCTGCAGAGAAGAGCACAGAGAGCAATCGCGATCAGTTTCCCACTTTCATAACTCAGGCCGCGACAACATCGGCAGCCGGGAAAGGTCAGCAGCACCACCGACGAAAGAAAAATATGAATAAAAACCAACACGAGAGCTGTAGGTTCTTAAAACAGCGCTTACATTTACAGAGCTTCTTCAACGCAAAAAATACCAATAAAAATCCACAAGTGTCTTCTTTATATGAAAAATTGTTTATAAGTCATCAAATCAGATGAAGGATATTTACCCACATTTGCTACAGTCCAGTGCCTGTCTTGAATGTACAATATGCCTGATTGGATAAAAGTCTTAGGTGATATTAAACAATAATGACACAGGCATGCTAAAGCTGGCCCTGTCTACAAACGTCACTGAGCTAACTGAAATCCATTTTTCCTTGTATCTCACTCCTGTCATGTCTCTCCCACATCTTGCTTCTTCCCATCAGACTGCATCCCTCCTCCTGTGACTCTGATCCCTCCATTTCCACACCCCCCTTGGCATTGTCCAGCCCCACAGCCTGGATAAACAAATCCCACAGTGATGACACTCTCCCCAATAAATAAAAACACCATCCCGCTTTTTAAAATGTCACTCCCCATTTTTCTACAATGGATGCCTGTATAATTAATCACTCTTCCCCATTTAAAGAAAATATAAATGACTTCAATAATTTGGAGGGCATATTAATGAATGAGAAACTTTTTCTTAGGAAAAGTGCATTTCATTAGATCATACATGGAAATAAAAAGCTTAATATGCTTCGCTTGCAAAAGTCTCTGCAGGAATATGGGTGAGGTAAATGGACACACACAAAAGAAGTCGAAGGTTCAGAAGCAAGACGAAGCACTCACCCTCCAGGAACTCGGTCCGGCCGGCCACTGCTCACACAGCTGGCCCCATAGCCCGTGCAATCTCCGCACACTGTACACACCATGCACTGGTCCAGCTTCCACTTGTGCATGCCAGGAGCACACATCATGGACTTTTCCTCCTTGTCGTCCAGCTCTTCCTCCAAGTCCTCATCCATTGCAGTGGCCATATTCTCCACACCAAAACCTGTTCAGCCACATGGATGCGCACGTCACTGCTGCAGCCTCATTCAAGACACTTAAAATTCTAAATGAACTCAAGAGTGCACAAAACTGCTCCTGCCATAAGTAATTGTCTAATATGGTAGTAGATGGGCAGCTCTAATCAAAGGCTGTTTAAAAAGCTCACTGTATAGCTGTCTAGACAGGGCTTACAGTCATAGCCTTGTGCAGCACAATGAAAAAATTTAAATTGTCCAAACATATTAAATTGCTTCTGGCTCACTCTACAAATCACACCCAAAGGCTTTCATAAATCACATAGAGAAATATACCAATTTAAAGGTTTACTGCGCACTGTAAAATTGGAAGCACAAGTTCCTTAGACAACCAGAAAACAAAGGTATACCAGCCTTTCCCTCAGGTTAATCACAAGTAATTAAAGTAAACAATCAAAAAAAGGCAAGCCAAGGTGTGGTTTGAAGTAGTGTTTTCTCATGCTCTTACCTTTCCCAGCTTGGCTCATTGACCCAGTGTCTCGGCCGCATTGTCCTTTGTTGTTGACACCAAAAGTCCACACCTCTCCATTCTTTGTCAGCACACATGTGTGAGCCTTCCCCATAGCTACCTGAGTTACGAAGTGTCCTTTCAAGTCTGTCACCTGGCCTGTAAGGAAGCGTACCATTTGTATTTTGCACACAACACTAATACAAATACATTCAAGTTTCTGGTCTTTCGGAGAAAGCTCATGGGGTGAAAAAAACTTATTCCGCATGAACGTATCATTTAAATATCTATATTTTGGGAATACTGAAGATACAACACAACATAACACTAAATGCAATGCACAAACATTCATATCCAAACACACAAAGTTGACTCTTGTCAATCGCAAAGAGATCAGAAGTTAAGCGACGCAACAACCATAGTACTGCATGAGCTATGAAAGAGTGGTTACTGGGGGTATGTCAGATGATCTGCCAAAAATATCACCTTACTGTCCGACAGAAAAAGAATAACCTGTTACTGACTCTCATCGGCTCTCACGCAAGGGAACCTAGAACTACTGGAAGGCGGCTAGTACGTACAAGTACTGTCACTGTAAACAGCATCCTTCCCAAACATGTACAGCTCGCCATCTTTCGTCACAATGCTGCTGCTCCCGTTGTTGCATGCTGTGTAGACTGCCATTTTGCTCTCAAGTTTAATCATTTTCTTGGGCTTGTAGGGCTTCGGTTGTCGCCTGCTTTTTGCTGGACATACAAAAGAAAAAAACTCTCCTGAAGAAAATGATTTCAAACCATACAACACGAGGTCTCATAATATACGAACACAAGCAGCATGTAAAAAGTTGTGCATAGCGGTAAAGCGTTTCCTACAGTATGTAGACAACTAAGGCAGGAAGGTTCTACTCGTATAACCTTTAAAAACAGGACTGCCTCAATGACAAAAAATCTGCCCCAAAAAACAAAAAGAATGTAAGAAAGGCTACAAATAAGAGGTGACCATTCATCAGATTGCCTGCAAATGAGCAGCTAATGGATCCAAGAATCTACATGCAACGAAAGTTTAAAGCAAGAAATCCTTCAACAAATCTCATAAAGTCAAGTACTTGATTCTCCATCCTCGCCCTTGCTTGCAGACCCAGTGAAGAAGACACTCCCATCTTCAGCCACCAGCAGCGCGTGAGAGCCGTCGTGCCCGACGGAGAACTGCACAACCTTCGGGGACTTGGTAATGGGCAGCTCCACCCACTTCCCAGCTGAGGGCCCGCCTTGTTTGATCCCCAGGCTCTGGTACTTCCCAGTATAATAGATCTGAGAAAAACAAAGGGAGAAGTAAATCACTAACATGACTATAAAGACGAACACCAATTTTCACATAAGTAACATTAAATCATTCAATCATTAAAAAGAAAGAGTGGAGGCCATATGGCCCATCTAGCTAAGTGATTTGAGAATTATTGAGGTACTAATAGCCAAATCATAACTTGCAGCATAACTTGGGGTTTACCACTCAAAATAATACTTCTTTTTAAATATCTTGTGTGTGTTCTTAGCATTTATATCACAACAGAATATACAGCAAATATCTGAAAATGCTAGATATTAGAGTACAAGGGCTGCAAATGAGAGAAGGCTTCTTGGCCCACCTGGCTTGTTTTGTGTTTTTGATATATCAGGATGCTTCTTGAAAAAAACAATCTGGTATTGCCTTTGAGAATATGACTATCTTGTTGTAGATTCCTATAATCCTTTGTGTAATAAAGTTTCACTTGTACTCCGACTCTCATGCACCACTCCGGTCCACTCTGCTTAATGATGTCTACCGGGTTGACTTAATCAATGTCTCTGAGGAATTTGAAAACTTGAATCACGTCCCCTGATAGTGTTTATCCAAGACTGAAGAAAGATTTCTTTCAGCCCATCAAAGCGGAACATGCCGCTTTGAGTCCAGAAATGTACCTGATCACATTTATTGATTCCATAACAGCAAAGACACTTATTTTCATCATTAATTTCATCACCCTAATTGTAACATTCATTCTTTATGTTTCCTCTCCATTTAGCAGGTCAAATTAAGATTAAATGCCAATTAGAGAATTAACCACTAATGAAAAGCTTCATCAAAGTCTTCTGAAAATCTAAATGTGCCATATCATATGCTCATTTTGTAACCATGACTGTTATCACATTCCAAGAATGCTAGCAAGTTAGTTGAGATACTTTTTCTTAAATCCATACAGACTGCCCCATAGAGGACAGTATCCATTTAGAGGGTCAACTAATTTAGTTCTAATTATAATTTCTATAACAAGTGACAGAAGTAAGACTTAGTGTATAAATACTTGGTTGCCTACCGTAAAACTTTTTTATGGATAGGCTCTGTATTACCCACTTTCTAGGGCATAAACATTACCCTGATCAACAGGACAAACCCCTAGCAGGTCTGACTTTGACTTTCAAGGTTGTTCAATTTTGATTCTAAACTGAATTTGCCCTCTTATAGGGAATGCAGGATATCCCAAATAATCCACAAGCTCTTTTTGCCAAATCACAGGTCATCAGTTTCTATTTTTGTTAGGTTTACAAATCCAAAATAATCCCTAGTGTAAGACTGTGATTACATAATAAGAGAATAAATACAATGGTTAATAGCTTTTACACTGAGGAATTTTGCATCCGATATGTACATCTAATCATCTGCAAATAAGTGCTTCATTTAGCCAGGTCACAACACTTCTATCAAGAGGATACAACAACTACCTATTCCTTTTGAGTAAATATTTAAGCCCAGTACCTCTTAAATATTTAACATGTTAATTAACACTGTATATCAGAGACAGTTTAGAACATAAGAAATTACATATTGCAAAATGAGTGGATGCCATATGGCCCATCTAGCACATCTGGTAACTAGCAACTAAGTGATTTGAGAATTATTTAGGTATTAATAGCCAAAAGTAGAATAATTTATTACATGATACAGTCAGAAAAAACAAAACAAAACCACTATAGTTGTTTGTACACAGTTTCTTTAATTTTAGAATCCAGCAGTGGCTACTGCTAATTGCTAAGCAATATGGATAAAAATAAAATGTTTCCAGCCATTTAACTAAGTTATTTGCTTCATTAGCAGATCATCCTGCCTTGGGTCAACATGGTGAGCTACTATTCGTAAATCTTCATGACTATACATTCATTAATACCTTATTTCACACCCACCTTGGGCCAGGACTCTACATGTGTTCTGAAAAAATAAAAAAAACCTAAGCCATAACTGATCTAAAGAGGTCTTATCCTCTATCTATTGGGCCATGTACGTAACCGTGAAATAAGATCAATCTTTTAATCACCTTTTTATCTCCAAATAACTCCTAGAAAGCCAGAAAGATGTTACGCAGACACACAAACTCACCTGGCAACTACTGTTTCAATATTTGGGTTAATCAGTTTCTGAATTTTTAAATATTCATGGAAGAATGTCTCAAGATCTACTTAGGTTTTCTGGCTACCCATACCTAATGGTAAACAAGAATATGTTTCTATACTGCAAACAATAACTGGTCAATTATTATGTCACCAGTGTTATATCTTTGAACTTCAACTCATTTGAGTTCACAGTGCACATTTATTGGCACTTTAACTGATTCTTCCAGGAAAAAAGGTTAAAGAGTAAACTCTAGTACATGCAGACAGATAAAATGCGAGAAACTATTAGCAAAACACGCTTAATAAAACCAAAAACAACTATATAGAATATTTCCAAAATATCTTTGCATCTCAGACTAAATGAGATAGTTGTGTTTCTCCAAGTGAAAATAGACATACCAGTTCCACCAAAAAGGCAAGACTTGCTGATGTGATATACTGGCTGTAAGCCTAGTCTGGGCATGACTAAATAACAGCACATGATCATCAGTACACAATGGGAAACTCACTTCAGGCAATCAAGGAACAGGACTGACTTGTTTACACAGAATTTCTTTGACATTATTAATAGCTTGTGAATAATTAATTTGACACAAAAAACTGTGCGAGTTCCAGGGTTTCAGAAAGAGCTAGTGTCTAATCCAGTACCTTTCCAGATGCAGTTTTCATAAGAGCAAACTCCCTGCCAGCTCCCAGTACTGCGGCTTCCTCATCGAACCCTGTACCTGAAGAAAGAGGTCAAGACGGATTTGATAAATAAGTCTTAGCAATAGAAATCTAGACAGCTCTGAAACCTTAAAATGAATTCCTAGGTTCATGGCGTATTTTTTTTACTTAAGCCGTACAAAATACTAACATTTGATCTAAACCCGGTGTCCTGGCCAAATTTCCACATTGGCCTTTACCAATCATGGCCTCCTAATAATCCCCATCTATGAATTGGCTACATTACTCTTCTCTCCTCCCCACTGATAGCTGATGTGTGGTGAGTGTTCTGGCGCACTAGGGCTGCCGTTTCATCATCCAGGTGGGGCTGCACATTGGTGGTGGTGGAGGGGAGTCCCCATTACCTGTAAAGCGCTTTGTGTCCAGAAAAGCGCTATATAAGTGTAAGCAATTATTATTATTATTAAACATTTCAATAAAATCATTAATTCCGAAGAAATGTCTTTCTTGATTACCATCTGTTATCATTTTTGTATTTTAGGATGATATTATTCTGAACACTATCATCTGTTAGTCTGCAATTCTTTCTTAAAGCTCATTGATGGAAAACTTCATCACTTCAGATAATAATAAACTACTTTTTTCCACAGCAATACAACAATACTAGACTATTTAAAATAGTTAAATATGTATTTAATAGTATGCTTTATATATAAATATCTTTCAAGACATTTATAGCACTTAAAGTGGCAAAAAGGACAGTGAATCCATTTATATTTAAAATACTGTTTTAAAGCATAGTTCTTAAGACAGCCAAAAGGGCACCTTAATGAGCACTTTAAAACAAACCTAACATTTCAAATGAAACATGAAAGAACATGTTTTAATGTTACCAAAAAAAGTACACCAGAATTTCATGTAATTAAAAGTGCCCATGCCGTCTACCAGCCATTATAGTCTGCTTTAATGTACATGGTAAAAACAAACAATTTCTTCTGATACACGGCAAAGTGAGAGACAAAGGAGGAATGGCAAATGAGAACCAAAGACAACAAGAAACATATGAAGCAACTATCATTGATTAGCTGTGACAAGGTTCCAAAAAATAAATCTTACTGATAATATGCAGGTCTTTCTCCAGGTCAAAGAGTGAGATGCCACATGCATGGAGACATTTTCGGGCCAGTTTAAGCTGTAGCTCCTGTTGCAGTGCTGGTTCAGTACTTGTTGCATAGATTCTCACCACAAAGCCATCCTGGAAAACAAATGCAATCTATGATCATATACTGTATTTCTGTGAATCACAGCACTTAACTAGGAGTCCAAATCATACCTGCAGCCTTTTCATCTTTATACACTCCTTTAACTGGGTGCAAATTAGGGTGCATGAACCATTTTTTGCCCTCTTGGTTTCACAAGTTGGTCAGAATACTTTACCAAACATCTTTCAGAAGTTTAAGAGGCCGTCATAGCTAATAGGAGCTACAGCACTAATCACAGCCTAAAAGCTGTCATAATCACAGCTACTGGTCATAAAATACTTTTTGTACCAATTTTTACATGACTGGAAAAAACTTAACTGTTGATAATTTTACCACTTTTTGTTTAATTTTTCTTATCTGAAAAGTCATTTTTGTCTCTCTCTTCTATTGTTTGTAATGCTAACACAACAATTAAAATGTATTTTGGACAGTAAATCCCAGAGGAAGAATGACAGATTTGGTTTAAGAAGAAAGTGTTTTTGTTAAATAAAATGAAAATGGGAATTTTATTTTAATCTCCCATCTTGGATAATAATGACTACAGGGAAAACAATAAAAAATTGTACATTAATTGGTGGAATTGACATCCATGGCAGATTTATTTTGGATCGTCACTATTATATGGAATTAAAGAGACTCAGAATCTGAAGACCAGAAATATAACTATTACTGCACCACAGCCTGGATATTTAAGATGACAGCCTTTGAGGTTAAGTCCACAGAAAACGTTTATCAAGCTCTACTTTTAGTGGGGAAAAAAACTGACACAAGAACAGACTCAAAAATGTCTGACATTTCACATAACATTAATGCTTCACTTAAGAATATTTAAATCTCCTATGTGCTGCTATATTTCTGTAAACACTTGACGAAGAATTTGGTCTGACGTCGCAATTTATGTAGTGCTTGTTCTGTAACAGTGCATCGGTTTCCACAATTGATACAAATGTACAGTGTGTTGAAAGGAATCAATTCCCCGTCAGGCTTTTTACAGCAATGCAGAGAAGAGTCAGAGACTTCATAGTGTGATACCACAGGGAGGGAGGAGAGGGGTAACAACACACAGTGAAGTAACAACATATACTGAAATCAGCCATTCTGGTCACAGTAAAAACACCCTTTGGAGCCTTTTAATATACAGTCCTTGGTTTTGCAGTTTACAAGCTTCTAGTTCTACCACTAAAATCTCATTTGTCCCCATAAGGGATCCTCCATCAACATGGAGGCTCTTCACTTAGGTCCACTTATGAGGCTGGCTCAGAGAATTCCACAGGCTTACTTCTGAAGAAATTCCTATGCAAATTATTTCAAAGCAGATACATGAATTTCAAAGTTCTCCCTTCCCCCACTTTCCTTTCTGCATAACAATTTTCTGTTAAGATGAATCAAGAAATATTTAAAATGCTTCCTGCCCCTCCCCCAACACACCCAGGCTTTACAGCTTTAGCATGATGCACTGCCTCACTTAGCTCCCCAAGCACAACATCAGGTAGTTAACACGGTAAAAAGAAGATGTCAAAGGAATCAGGCAATCAAAGAAGGGTCAAGAGAACAATTATAAAAATGAGATCTGAAAACCAAAACCAATCTAAAATATGGGTGTATGGGCAGTTGTGGACAATGTGTTTCTTATCATTACCAAGAATATAGTGCATCCCAGGGTGCCAAAGAAGATCCAGCTATATATTACACTCTACAATGTTTGTTTCTTTGAGAGGTTCCGGGTTATTGTGTGACAATGGTCACAAGTTATCTTAATGTCAATAAACTGAAAAGCTTAAAGCCCTCTTTTTTTCTTTCCTTACCTCCACATAGCCAAGCACACTCAATATTTTTCAGGATTGACTGCTTCAAGCTGTCACCTAGCAACCTGCCAAATCCCTCAGAGAAACCAGTTCTTGTGTGGATGTAACTACAGGAGCTCAACAAACTAATGTCCTTCCGTCTCATGCTTTATTCAATAAACCTACATGGACTGACAGAACAAATGAGTCTGAAATTAATGCAATTCTATTTTAAGACAAAAGGTTTATAATTCTTGACTTTGCCTATAACTGGGAAAAAAGAATCCACATACACTGCTACCAAATTGGCAGAATGAAATAAATCTATTTAAAATGAACATATGCAAGACTGGTTTAGAAAATAAATCTGTATTCACCAAAACAGAAAACATGAATAATGCAGATATTGATAGATAACTTGATAATGCTCCTCACAGCAAATCCTCATGGTCCCTAGTATTTCCTTCAGCCATACACAGTATTGTTGATAAAATTCATGATTAGACGCATGTTCTTTGCAGCTGGAAAGGAAGACAACGGCTGCATAAGCTTTTATCATCAACTACACTCACATTGTTGGCGGCATAGAGATTTAGAACAATGCACAGTAACATGCTGCTGTGAAGTGTCAAAACCTGTTTGAGGTGAAAACCTAAAGATAGCAATCAAATCAGTTCAAAACAGCCCCCAGGAAATTCAATTCACAAAGGTCCATACCAAGAGCATAGTTTGCACTCTGTAATCTCAACATCACTGGTTATTAAGCTAGCTGAGTTCAGGACTCCTCAAACTGCAAAGCATAATTGGCTGAGTCATCCAGGGTTGCTAAGCAACTGTGAACCCTAGGGCTTGACAGCTTGCACTGACATCAGCGAGAGACTTGCTGCTTCTCTGATTGCTGAAAACTCTCCTATAAGGTACTATGGGGCTCTCAGCTGTCAATTGCAAGCGGCTGAAAAAAAAGTGAGCAAGCTGAGTGACAGAATTCATATTACTTCTTACTCCCATACTGGCAGCTGTTACAGTGGTTGCAAGGACAAGCCAAAATAAACAGCCAATTCTGATCGGAAGGGTATAAAAAGAAAAGGACTTCCAATACAAAAATATGAAGTGGAAGTGAATCAGATTTTTAGATATTCTTACATCTCTGCATGCTGCAATTTGATTGACGTACTCTCCATCCGTGAAAACAATGTTCTGCGCATCAGCTTGGAGCACTGAGGGAAAAAAAAGGAAAAAAAATCTGATTATTACACATGAAAAGTGCAACACAGGGATCATAAGTGATATATGAATGCTGTGATGCCACAAGGGAGCATCCCTGTAGGGCATTACTTTCCCGAGGCCTCTTTGTTTACAAGCTTTACCCCTGCCCAAAAAGGGCAACAGGACATGTGGTATCCACGAGGCTGGACGTGAGGAATCACCGGAGCAGGTATCAGCTGTGCACCCTGCTCCAGTACACATAAATAGAGCTCCGAACAAGGAATAGAACGAGGCATATGGGAGAAGAAGCCAGAATAAGAGTGACACAGGATCTTCACATCAGCCTCTGGTAACACACAGGCTGATATACCGCTAAGCCAGCCACCAAGCTGAAAACTCAAGCCACTCAGCTCCTCCGGGCTGAAGACAGGCTGTGGAATTGCCACACCAGCCACATTATTGCTGCTGACATGGCTAATAGGCACGCCTTCAGGCAGAGGACAAGCACCTCTGCTAATCACCTTGGACAGAATTACCTGCCTTTGTTGCTGTGGTAATATAAATAGTGCCTTTTAAATAAACAAGTTTCATTTCAAACCTCAGTCGGGGTTTATCTTTGGTCAGGGACCCACATAGAACTGTTGCCTCTGCTGCGAGTTGCCCCAAGTGGCATCAGAATGTATTTTTCTCTTTTTAATCTTGTTACTCTTATTTGCACTTTCTATGAAAATGTTTTGGCAAGCCTTTTTGGCCTTTTCACCATAAAACAGGAGAGAAATGTATCAAGATATCAATGTTACCAATGCTTTATTTCTGGAGCATTCCAGAAACAGAAACTGAGAAATACAGGTTTAGGTAATGTAAAAAAATATATATAACTAATGGATTCCATTTTAAAGTGACATAACAAACTGCTATGTGGTACTTAACATTAATTAATAATTAACAAAAAAGACATATAGGAAGTTTAAAACATTTAGCTAACTTGAGCAAAACTACACTGTGACATGTTCTCTTTGCACATTAGCTAACTGGCTACAGAGGTGAAGATGACTGTAAGGCTCCACAATGAAGTGCTCCATACCAGGCATCGTGATGGCCCCCTCCTGCTCCAAGGTCTCAGGATTGATCTTGATAGCATTCATGCTATGGCTGTTCATATCTCTGTACAACAAGCAGCCCTGAAGCAGCACAAGTAAAAGTGTTACAGAAAGCTGTAAAAATATATCGTCCAGTTATGAATTTAACATTGTTTTTCCCTAATAGAGCCAATAACTTTCAGTAAAAAATATAAAACGGCATGCTGCATTTGCCCAAGCTACAAGTCTGTGACATTTATGAGCCTGAACCATTTTCTACTCATGTGAACTCTATGCCAAAGCTGATGATTTTAATATGACAAGGCAGCCACTACACTGCATTCTAATGACAAAAACAGTGCTTGTGCAACAAGAATTCACATGATTTTTCACCAATATTGTAAGAGGACATTTACTTAAGTAGATGATCAATAAATTAGAAATAATTGATAACGAATTTAAGAATTACTAATGCTTCAAGTATTTCTGCAACAAGTAGATGTTAATTCCACAATCAAATTAAATAAGGAAGAAAAACAGCAGTTCAGCTATGGAGTCTTTCTTTAGGTGTGGATAGCTCCACGGCTAAAATGCTCTCTTTTTTCTTATGTTGGAGAGCGGATTTAAAATGTACTTGTTCCAATGTAGACTAACGCAGCTCCCTGCTCTTATCTCTTTAAGCAGATTTGATGTTTAAGTCAACAATGAAAAAACTCAATTACAAAAGTAAATGAATTTCACTGAGATTGCAGTATTTACCTGTGCAAAGCCCAGCCATGACTTCTTCTCTTTTCGGTTTCTTATGCGAGAAGTAGAATTATATACGTGGCCCTGAAAGATTAATGATGTTGAGTATTATTTGACAGGTTTTCCTCACAATTATTCAGTTCCACCAAGTTTCACATTGAAGAGCAAGATCAGCTAAAACTGAAGACAAGCGTCTAATTTAAAACCACAATATCCAATGTGAAAAACATTTTTAAGAGACAGGGGGTGAATTAATATTAAATGTAAATATTACCCTATAAAATATAGGCCTTAAATCTTAGTTTAGTAATGTAATCTAACATGGGTTAGTAATGTAATCTAGTTAGTAATGTAATCTAACATGGGTATCAAGGATGAACTAAGAGTATCTTTCGAAAGACATGATAATATTCAGATGCTTTAAAGGCACGGTAATATTCAGATGCCCCTACCCTGACTGTTCCACTGTATCCAGAGCCTACTTTATACAGCCCATCTTTGCATAAAAGATAGAGAAAGGAGCCATCAGACTGCAGCAGGCATCGTTCATCTTCATCTATGGGGACCTCTTTCAGGACCCATTTGTTCATCAGAGCTGCTTTCTTGATGCCATTTCCAAACCAGTCCTGGATCTGGATTTTTCCAACCAGCACAGCTTGAACACTCCTCTGGAGGGCATTCAGGATGGTGGGCACCTGCAGGAAAGAAAGGCACAACCTATGTCACACTGATGGCAAGCATGTTAAAAAACCAAGAACTTTGTGCCGATCTATTTTAGATAAAAAAAAGCATATGTGAGGAAAAAAAAACAGTCACAAAAAAGCCCTGCAGAGAAACTAGATTTATAATAAAGGGTTATAATCTATTAAATGGAAAAAGTGAAACAGAGATCTGGAGCCACTAGACTTTCCCTTCTGAGGTCCTGCAACAACTCAAAGCCAAATTGCAAAAGGCGGAGGGGGGTCTGGCAATCTTCCATGAAGAAAAACACTTTTGATTTATGGAATTCAGGTTATAAACTTTCAGTTATCGCTATAACAATAACAGGGCGTTACCAAATTCAAGGTCATTAATACATCCAATGTATTAATCCCTCTCATTCATTCACTTTTGGGGAGTAGAGTACAGTAGTCTTGAGGAGAAACAAAGAGCACATCCAGGGAAATCCTACCTTGCAAATTGCACTCCACCTGTAATGTGGAGATTAGAAGTATTCATAAATTTGAGGGAAAATATTTTCCATGTCCAAAATTAATCTAAAGGATCCCAAGTTTTAATACTACAGCGGATTAAGTAGAATAATTTGTAAGACAAAATTTGCATGCTTATGGTGACATACTCTTTAAATTTCATTCATTATCATAGAGCCAAAGGCTGCCTGTATTAAAAACTGTTGTTAAAACAGTATTATTTAATACTACTATATCCATCCGTCCATTTTCTGACTGCTTTTTCCAAAACAGGTTCACAGGGGAGCTGATGCCTATCCCAGGAAGCAACAAGAACAGGGCAGGATACACCTTAGATGGGATGCCAGCCCATTGCGGGGTATACACAAACAGAAACAAGCAAACGCACAACGGGGCTACTTTTTCCAGAAGTTAATTAACCTACCAGTATGTCTTTGGACTATGGGAAGAAACTCTGGAAGAAAACCACACGAATAGGGGGAGAACAAAGTCCAGGCAGAGAGCATCCCTGGTCAAGAAATGAACCCAGTACCCTAGTGTTGTGAGGCAGCAATACTAGCCACTCTGCCATCCAATACTGCAATACATTTATAATTTAAACAAGAACTTAAAGATGCAGTGCTGATGTTAATATTAGGTGTTTAAACGCTTGGCCATTTTAAATTTTAATACATTCATGTTTTGTTATATTGTGACAACATTTTAAATCATGTAAACCAAAAAAACATTCAAAATGATTTGTTTTTAGATTTTGGATTTTAGTAAAGTCCATGACATTTCCCCAAAAAATTTAATTTGATCAGGTCCTAACCTATCCATAAATACTCTAACAAACTAAGGTCCAGATATTATTACATAAACAGATTTCAAGCACAATCTGAAAAATGTAAATTGTATATTTATGTTTTTTGCATTTATAATTAGCATTCGACTAAACTTATCTATAAAATAATGTGACGAGAAAATATAGAACTATGAACCAAACTAATAGTAAAGGTAAAAATGCAATATATCAATGTATATAGCTGGTAAAACTCCAGTAAAAGAACCCGCACGTTTATTGACTAATTACACACTGAGGTAATATGACAGCTGAAGCTAGAGAAAGCTGCTGCTGAAATCAATCAAGTGGATTAAAGCAGAAAACCATCACATACTCCTAAAAAATAGCAATATAAATCTATATCCCTGCCACTAATGTGAATGTTTAACACCTGATAACCACAGAGGACAAAAAATAGTTTCTCTTGTGGCATTTAATGTCAAAATACAAGGCTTATTACACTACACACATACAAATGACAATGGAGTTTTAATGTTCTGCACAAAGTACCAATTACCAGTGATATCTAGGGCTAGAAAACAATTAAAAATGTAAAATACAAAACTCTAAGCCAACAAATAACAGATATTGCTTCCTTTAAGATATTTACTAATGTTTTTAGTTTTTTTCCCCCTCCATCGACACAAAAAACCCTTAAAACAAGTGACCCAGCGAATTCCAGATCTTCTTTTTGTTAAAAAGGTTAAACAAGGGATCAAAATCAAGCTGCACTGGCTGTGACTATATAACTGCCAATGTATAACTTAAAACCATTTTAGAAATTTCCAAATTGTAAAAACGAAAACAGTAAGAGGTAGGCAATCTCTCTCAAACAGTTCTGGGAAGTAATGTTCTTTGATGGCAATAATAATACCAAAGAAGAAAGAAAGGATATTTTACCACTTTAGATTACTGCATTGTTTTTATTTTAATAAAATTAAATGTCAAGAATCAGAGAACACTACTACTGAGTGGCTAATTAAGCACTCCACTGGCTTTACACTAAGTGTTATTAGCCTCAGAGCTCTTGAGATGTCAATAATGCATTCAGTATTAATAGATGCCAATATTATCAAAGAGCCCTGTAACCACATGTTAGGGAGTGTCACTACTTGGGATCTACCCATCCATATTGCAAATTTCTTATGAAGAATACTAAGAATGGGCAACTGACACACCAGAGTACACAGAATTCGGGGATGAGCTCACAGTCCATTTTAAATACATCAATCTGGATTAGTCACTATACCATTGAATTATCAAATGCGTCATTGCAGGTAATTTAAAGTTCAAAATGTAACATGTATGACAGAATCAAAGTATAATTTAAAAGTTGTACTTTCTCATTTTTATAAATGCAACAGGTACGCACATTTCATCCAGTGAGTGGCTTATTTTTTTGTGCAATAGGATACCGAAGATGGGTGAACGCAATTTCTACATCTGCTGTATTTATATCTTGTAGACTTAATTTTGTCTTAGCACAGCATTATTTTATAATGCTAGGCAAAGACGATCTAATAACTGCACAATGAACGCAAGTAAATATAAATTCATAGCCTTCCCTTTTAATGTGCAAATTAGTAAAATATGCAATCTGTGTGTGGACTTCAAACAATCGTTAGATGAGGAGATCATGTTACATCATGTAAATGTAACCCCAGTGATAATTCCTCAACTCACTGTAACATAAAATGATTCTTTCTTCAGAGTTTTTCAGAGTGAGCTTATGATCATTTTTAATCTCGTTAGCTCCTTCATTTTAATAGGCTATAAATTAGACACTTCGCTCAAGCTCAAATCTCTTATTGGATATAGACAACTTTTACTTTTAATATTGTCGGCTTTTTAATAATTTATTAGGACCAAGTGCCTAAGAAAAATAACACCTTATTAAAGTTAATGAGCTTTGTGGGATGTTACGGGCTGCTAACAAATACCCATCACTGTCTTGAAGTAAGGCTCCATTAGTTTCAGAAATGTGGTGCTGAGAGCACCAGTGTCATTTCAGAGTTGACTTGAATACAAATCCATGGCCTTGGATGTCTGGTACTACAAAATGGTTCCATTATGTTCCAATAGCTCTTATGTGAAAACCAGAATACTAGCAAACATTTAAATCCTACCCTTAAAAAGACTGCAATATTTTCAACCATAGAACTCTTACTCCACTAGTAATGGATCATGGATAATGTTATGAAAGTTTACTACAATATTTCCATACCCTGTTCAGAATTTTCCATTATAAAATGCATTTACTTTGACATGGTTTCCCACTGTTCTCATCATGCTTTTTCTTCCTTCACCCCCATTTACAATGCTTTGACCAAGTACCACAGTCATTTATAAAGAGAACCACATTGTTGAAAAGCTCAAAACGGCAAAGAACTTACCTGAATGGTCTGGCAAGCATGGCTGCCATTGTTGGTGAGGATGGCAGAGACAGCTTGCAGGATCTTGCCTGTGTCACCCCAGGACACCACCAGGCTGAACAGACAGGCACAGGAAAGTGCCGTCAGAGCCTGGCCCGTGGTGTCGCTCATCCCTGTACTTCGGATCGTTATCTCCAGCAAGAGATGGAACAAGGATTCTGGGAAGCAAAAGCAACCAAAAACGGAAAAACAAGAAGCTGGTTAGATAATAGTACAAGGATTTATGCTTCTTTCCGGGTGGATACTATCAGAAAGTTTTTCAAATGGTGCTTAATTCAAAAGGAGAGGTGTAAAAAATTCCTGTATAGTCATATGACTGGTATCAGGCAATCAAACCTGCCACTTGATTTGTGTGAGAACCAGAAACTTTGGGTTGAGAACATCGTACCTAGGACCTCAGGGGGCTCAGTCTGGAAGCCTTCTGGCTGCTGGCCTTGCAGCATATCCAGCAGAGCCTGCAAGCTCCTCAGACACAGCAACGGATGGGAAAACCTTGTCTCCTTTATCAGCTCAAACACCCCACACAGACCAATCCCAATAATCTGGAGGAGGAAAAAAAAAATGTTTCTAAACATCAAACCATATCTCTGTAGTGGTAAAGAAAATGAAAGGCACCATCATTTCTTTATCAGCTAAATCAAATTTAAATGTTACAGCCGTACGGTAAAGCATGCTTCACAAGACACAAATATGAAAGGCTGAACATACGCCATTTGCTTAATCAAATAGATTTAGCAGCATATGCCAATTAAATCTGACAATTCTAGATATATCCAAGAAATGCTTTGCAATAATGGTTTACATGTGAAGGTCTACACTTCTAGGTAAGTAATAACGTTACTTTAACGGCTGTCTTTGGCGTAATATTTGGATGTTAAGGCTGCTTTTTGTGTATTTATTCATGATTTGTGCTGAATAACTGCAGAATCTGGGGCAACTGTCTTATCAGCTTTGATTAGTGCAAACTTTCAGCTGTCAGTGTAGAAATATTTCTTATTAAACAGTTCCAGAAAGGCTTGCTGTTTTAAAGTTGTCATTCTGACAGCAGATTATTTTTAAAGTACAGAAGCACCAAGGTCTCAAGAAAACAGGAGACTTTCATCCTTAAGCAAAGCTTCCCGTTTAAAACAATTTCAAGCCCAGCTGCATGCAGGTATAACAAGCATACCTACTGTATATCATAAGAGCTGTTCTAACTAGCATTTGGAATAAAAAAAAAATTGAGGAAATGATTCCATTCTGCTGTCAGTAAGAAATATTTTCTTTTACTTTATAATCTCCATATATACAAAGCTGACAGACACTCCTTCTGACCACAAGCCCTCCTGACAACTAAACAGGTGATCCAAGTGATATTCCCTACTTTTAATAACTAAATATTTCAACATCAGTAAAAGCAAACAACAGAAACCACAAGGAAGTGAGCTTATAATCATGTTAGCAGTCAGAACTACCATGGGTAATACTACCAATACCTTTTTAACTAATGCTAAGGTATATTTACCAAAATCATTCAAGAATTAATCAGATCTGTGAGAACTAAGTGAAAACCTAAATAGAAGAGTATTGACTAAGCTGTTAAGTAGTGTATGCGCAATCCTTGAGAGGTGTCCCTTGAGGGCCACGGGAGATGGCACACTGACCTTCGGCAGTTTAACCGGTGGCTCTCTGGACTCCTCCTCCTCGTCGCTGTCCGAGTCCCCGCTCTGCACCGAGTTCTTGGAAGCCAAAGCCAGAGAAGTCTCTTTTTGCTGCCATTCCAACACACAATGGCGGACATTGCAGTACACGTTGAATGCAGATGGGTTGCTGTGCAGTTTGATATCCGGCACAGAGAAGGCTCCTTCCAGATTCTCGCTCTGCAAAGGAAGAACCATAGTCATTAGGGAGGAAGCAAGTCACCAGACTGCGATCCACGCTCCATGCTCCCCACCAAATGTAATCAGTGCTGTGCATGTGCAGAGCAATACATTTTTACAGCCAAGGACATTATTGATTTCTGAATGACAGAGAATGGGATTTGTGCTTTAGTATGTTACTCTGGTTTCAGGATACAGAATTACCCTGTAGATACAGATACATTTATAATTAAATGACATCCATATACAGCAAAGACTTTATATGGATGCAGATATAAAAAACAATCAAATAATATTTGTTTTATGCTTCTGTTGAAGATCCTTGGAGCACATTCTGCCTACAAATTCCTACTAACATTATTCTGTTTACTTAAAAGAGAACCGCAACGCCATTTTATACTTCGGGGTTAGAAAGAATCGGCATTGATGAATGCATTTCAAACCATAATTAAAGTAAAATGTACACAGTAGTGTGTAAAACCTCAAAATTTACATCACAAAAGAGCATTAAACTTTAACAATAAAATAATCAAATTTCCAGGTGTGCGGAGCACCATATTCTGCGTTTCGGAACGACGCAACAGTACTATACTGTAGCGGCCCTATTACATTATAAATAAGCAGGCTTGTGAATACATCTCTTTTAACCCAAGAGAAATATTGCTCTCGACTTTGAGAAGGTTTTGCCAGAAATACAACTTTCTTGTAAACCCTGCATCAAGAACCTGTTAGAACATTTCTGCATTGAAATGTCTGCTGCGCAACTTGTACATCATGTTAACCTGTGGTGAGACCGTGGGTTTGCAACAACATGGTCGCCATACAGTACTTTCACAAAGTTCACGATTTAGTGCTTAATTTGGAACGTATACATTTTTTCCCCAATATGGCCAATTAAATTATTTTGTCGAGATTTAATAACCGGTCTGAGAAATTGGGCCTGCAGTTCCCCTATGAACACTTTTTTGCTTCAGCTGCTGAGTTTTGTTTTTATTAATGGGCTTTTTTTAAAAAAAAGACAACACATAAATTTATACCCTGATCACACACAGTAAAAATAGCAGGGGCCAACGTACACATTCACACATTATAAGACAATAAGGTCAACCCCCTGCTTACAACCGAAGTCAAACATGATATGTAGAGTGTGTGAGTAAGGCCTACCCAGAAGGCCATTCCCCTGGCCTTCTGGAGAGGTCAATCAATACAGTACAACTCAACTGTGGCACTGTAGGAACAGGCAGATGTCAATTCAGTGGAATGCTAGAACCTCTGTTCACTAGCCACAGACCAGTAGAATCTTGCCCCACCCATGGAGAGAAAGAACAACATGGACAAGCTAACAAAAACCAATACCAGGACATGTGGTGTGCAGATCATTATTAAGGCAAAAAAAACTTTTCCTCTTGCCTCATTTTTCTCTCTTGCTTATGCATTTTTAGCTCATGCAACCTTCTTAGACTGTGACAATCAAATATGTAAAACATGAAAACATTTTCTAAATAGTTCATCCCCCCTCTCCGTTCTGAAAATATATTTGATAGAAAAGAGTGAAAACATTAATTTTTAAATGGCTTTTTTCAACTCATAGGTCCAAGACAAAAATTCCCCCTGTACTGCTGTAAATCAGCACACAACTCTTCCATTTCACTGTGGAAAATATAACTCTAATAAAAATACAAAATATTACCCCAATTTAAAAACAATTACAAAGACATAAGAAAATTAGAAAATGTACCACAGAAGTCAAATCGCTGGACAAGGGCCCAATCCAAACAATTAAGGCATCTGAAAATGGACAGGTTACTTAAAAAATTAGCAGACCAAATCAAAAGGATTCATATGCTTATAATCCAGGTATCAGACTACACCCAGTAAACCTAGGCCTCAAACAAATAAATGTAATCCACTTTAATTTATAAAAAAAAATGTAAATAAAAGCAGCAATTAAGTATTATTGTTATTCTTAATACACATGAAAACACTTAATTAAAAATACTCAAATCTGCCTCTGTTGGAAAACAGTAAAATACTGTATTCAGCAGTTTTGCACAAGAGGTAAATTTCCCACTATGCTACTGTAATAATCTCATTCTAAAATGAGACACTGTCAGTTTAGATAAGGACACAGACTTCAATTTCTTTCCTTTCCAGTGAGTTCAGATCTTGTGTTAAAGAAATGAAACTACACATTTCCTGACCTCATGCAAATCTTTTTTACAGATGGTCAACCATTATTGTCAGGTATAAGAGACTTAACTGATGCCTACATTAAATTGCAAATTAAGAATTGGGCAATTCACTGCAATCTAATCTAGAAACTCTAATAGCAATTTTGATAGAGTCCTGCTAATCCTGCAAGTGCAGCGGCAGTTCATGGCTACTATTTGGAGTTTCACTAAGTAGAGATGCAAAAAACAAAATGAGGATTTGGACTTTTGCAGTTAAGTAATTAAAAAGATGAGGAGGAAGTAATGTGTTGGGTAAATATCAGTCAAATACATGCAATACAGACAATGAACTTACACTTGATAATATACCATCAAGCATTACCTGTCACTTTATTTTGAAACGAAACTTAATTTTAAATTCATGCCTGGCTTACACTTTTACACAGTAAGCTGTGGTTTTGTATAGCACGCATCCTGGCACAAGTTGTTTGACGCACACCTCAAACCCAAGAAAACACTAAGGCTGTGTCTTCATCTGCCACTGACAGCCATTTGTAAGTAAGCCACAACCTGGCTGCAAATACCCAAAAAAATTTATTTATCTGAATGTGGATTAGGCTATATAAGAAATTAAAACATCCTTTATCTCTACTTATTTGATGGTTGGTATAAACTGTATTGTATAATATACTGTAATCATACTAGACTGCATCAACTTCAACATGATGTGTTTTTAACTTCTGCGAACTTTCAAAGCCAGGTGCCCTGCTTTTCATGACTATGTGAAATCTGTTTGGTCAATCACATTCATCTTCACACAAATCTCCATGTACAGTATGCTGTCACAAAGTACAACAGGAATTTAAATCCTTCCTTCAGTGCAAGAGCTCCATCCTGCAAGGACAAGATCAATTTAAATTTACAGCTCTTGTTTTTTACAGGTTTTACAGCAAATTCCTCTGCCAAAAACCTGAATATGAAGTCTTATTAAAGAGCCCAGAAAGCAAAACCAAAAACATACAGCAGAAAACATCTGAATGCATTAATAATAGATAATGATATTAAGATTTAAATCTGAGGTCAAGATACAGTAGCAGTTGATGCTAAAGGAGTTCATATTGTTACCGCTTGGAGGAGTTCAATTGCACCCATTTGCAAATAATAAATGTTGCAACTGGTCTGGGGTCTTGTTGCTTCTATACTGGAGTCCCAGAATCCTCTTCTGCAGACTAATCTGTGTCAACAATCTATCCTCCCCAGCTCTACCAAAATCCTGCTGCTGTGTGGTATTCTTTCTCACTGCTTCTCCTAGGCAACCACTACCCCCGACTCTTCACTGACCCATCACTCTCATATTCAAGATTTTTATCCTTTCCTACTACTCCCTATGGGGGAGTTTCCATGTGCCTTTTACATTTGAATGATTATAGGATTAATCATATGAAGTAGGGGTAGGGGTGGCACAGTATTTAACACTGTTGCCTCGCAGCACAAGAGCCCTGGGTTCAATCTAGGATCTGTGGTGCTATGCGCATGGACTTTGTATGTTCTCCCCATGTTCATGTTGGTTTCCACTGGGTGCTCTGGTTTCCTCCCACAGCCCAGAAGACATACTGGTATGTTAACTTTTTTCTGACAAAACGGCCCTGATGCGAGTGTGTATGTGGTTGCCCTGTGATTGGGAGCTCGCCTTGCGTCTGTTGCCTGCCGGGACGGGCTCGGGCCCCCACACTACACCCTGAAACTGGTGGAGAAACACGTTTTCCAATAGAAATCATACAGACTAAAAAGGAAAGTTGGGGGCTTATATGCAAATCAGCCATATGCACATACCTAGAGTAGTTATGCCATTTTTGTGCCAACAGTCAGTAAAATGTGATTTCCACAGCAAGCATGAACAAGTGACAATCACACTTAGATGTGTGAAGATGTAATAAAGTTTGAATCTGCCTTGACTGGTCATTTAGAACACTTCTTTTACAAAATTTGCCTAAATATGTCACGAGAGAGTAATGAATTTCCTAATTATTAGCCTGAAATTTTGAACAACAGAACAAATAGATAATTCAGAGAGACAAGCTCCCCAAAAGCAGCTATTTTCAGATTCCCACGGGTGAAAATCAGCAGAGATGTAGAACTAGTGAGATCCGAGTGATACTCCATTCACTACGCATGCCCCGAAGAGTATTCACATTTTCATATGAAAAACACAATTCCATGCAGAAATGGGTTTTGGCACAAAGTAAACGTAATTAACGGTATTACTCTCTGTGGCGATTGTCCTGAATTTTTTCCCCAAATGTGTGCTTCACTACTCGCTGATAAAATAATCATGGAAGCTCAACCAATGACTCCTCCCCCAGCCCCATCATCCTTTTCACTCACACTCTTGTCTATAGCTTCCCTTGGTCTCCCTCACTGCGAACTATCGACAATTGCACATTAATATTGCAGCAAACACAGTGAAAACAGCTTAATGTTCTTTAAGTTAATCTTTCCTAGAACGCTCCTTCACTTTTCTGTCTGTGGCTGTAATGGAAACACCAAGGAAGGACACTGATGGATTATAACTGTCTGGAAACGGAAGCAGCACAGTGGTAATGTGTCTGGTTCATATCACGAGATGATTGTGTAGATATAAAATAGCAAAACAAAACTCTGACAATGCCAATGATAACATGGCGCAAACTGAGCTCCGGGACAATTTAAATTCAATTTGTAAACTCAGTTTCTACTTCAATGACAGCACAACATTAAAAAGCAATGTTAAAAGACTCTCGTGCAAATGAGAAAAGCAACAGTCATTAATAGTAGATTGTGCATTTTGAA